ACATTCCAATTATTTTTTAGTCTTACAGAAATAGTCTTATAACCATTAACTTTCTAAAGGGTTGTGTTGAAATGATAGGATGGCAAATGACCAGGTAACATCTGAATTATAATGATGGGATAACAAGTTATTCAATTTGGAAAGAAGTTGAACTAGATCATTCTCCTTGTTTGGCAAATGGTATCATGGAGCTACTATTATGGGCAGATAAGTTAGAAGCTTTCACAAAACGACTTTCAATATAATGATTTTGTAATGCATTTCCAACAAAAGAGATTGCTTACTATCACACAATTCTTTCATAGGCAAGATTACACATGCAATCAATACAGGAATTTATGACAAAAAGTTATCAAAGTAGTAGAAGCCCAGTACGTCTAGGTCTGCTCACCTCTGCTATTGTCATCACTGGGTATACAACACTACCCATAGTCCCCACCACCACTCCATTTTCACCTCACTAGAGTGCAAAGCGTGCTGGAAGTCAAAGGGACCCTTGGGAGAAGTTGATTTAATTTGGAAAAAATATCTTTGAGATCCTTATACATTATAAGTTTAGCAATCATATACACTCACCGTTCAATCTTCATTTCTAAGAGATAATCTAGCAGAAATTTTATTTCATGTTCTTTTGATTTTTCCAACCTGAGGACATTTCTGCTTACCCAAGAAAGAGAAAGAAATGAAAAATACCTTATTATCTAAATGTTGGCAGAGCTCTACATGATTTGATTTCATTGGCATTCCTGAAGGCCATCACTTTAATATTTTTCAATTTAAACAAAAATAAAGCTATGAAAATAAGGAAACACATAAATTTAATATACATATATATTTTATATATTTATATATGTATGTTTGTGCATGTGTATGGTCACAGTAGGAAACGGATTATTATGAGAGAACAATGTAGACCTTAAGGAATGAATTTCTTGCTTTACCCTCACTATTTCTTAAAAGGGAAAGAATAAAAGAGAAAGAGATAAAGCTTATTTAAAGGCCTCATTTTCCATGAAATGTTGGGATACATTTAAAATTGAGAACACCCTAGAAACATTGTACTGGGTTTTGCTGGATGAAGACTGAATTTCTGAAGACTAAAGTACAAACACAGTATAGGCATGCTGTCATTGAACACACTGCACTGAATCTATACAATTGAATAATAAAAAAGTATTTCTTATATATAAAATGTTTCCCAGGTACCAAAACATCAAATAAAAATCCCACCCCTCCTGCTGTGTCCCTAGGTATGTACACTACATACTGTCTTGGGGGTATGTTTCACAGCACTTGTCTCAGGGGCAATGTTTTCTGGTTTATGGGGCCCAGAAGCAAGGAACCAGCATCCCCCCTCGCTTAGGGAGGCGTGGCTTCCTGTAGCACCATGCTGCCGGTAGGTGTGACACCCAGCGTGTTCTGGTGGACACCTGCTCATTGACAGCCTTAGCCATGGTCCCCGGGAGCCTCACTCGAATTGTAGATTTACTGTCATTCACTCTGGAAGCCAGTGTGCATTCTCTTGAAGTCTGCTTGTCCCTTTTGTTCTCTTTTTGGCAGGTCTGAGATGTTACTATGATCAAAACAGACTAATTTGACAGGTGCTGGAAACAGCACTATTTCTCCTACAGAAGGTCTTGCTGCTGCTACTTAGAAATGATGTAAAGTATTAGAAATGTGAGTCACTTATAAATATTTAGTCCTTAACCCATAGAAAAGTAGAGAGATATTGGACTAGAGCAGTGGTTCTCAACCTTTCTAATGCCGCAATCCTTTAATACAATTCCTCATGTTGTGGTGACCCCCAACCATAAAATTATTTTCGTTGCTACTTCATAACTGTAATTTTGCTATTGTTATGAATCGCAATATAAATATCTGATAGGCAGGATATATTTAGGAGACCCCTGTGAAAGGGTCATTTGACCCCCAAAGGGGTCACGACCCCAGGTTGAGAACTGCTGGACTAGAGTATCAAACAGAGCACTTCATAATTTGTGTGCATAGGAAAACCAGGAAGAAAATTTGAATGTCCATTTTCCAACATTGTTTCTACTATTTCTCGTTAGCATAAAATTGGTCACATGTTTTGAACAAATGCATTCCATAGCAGTCACTGGCAAATTAGACTAACATAGGCTTTATGAACAACATTCATAGCAGAAGATGATTCAGAGTAAAAATAAGGACTGACTTTCATTTTCCAGTTAATAACAAATATTTGACTTAGTTAATTACAAACTTGCTTACATAATAAAGACAACAAAAGTGAAGCATAATTAAAGGTGTCTTGTAGAAAGACGTGTTTCTTTGTGGGCACCTGAGCTCGAAGGACAAGGTACTGATGGCTCCAGGTGTTTGCCATGTTAGATCAGCTTTGCAAGTCTTGATGCTCTCAGCACTTGTCTGCTGGTGCCCAAAATAAGCATTTTGAGCTTGGACCTTTTTCAAAGGAGAGTTTCATATTCCAAAGGGAGAGAAATGACCACTGAACATAACATTAATAGTTATTCTTTATCGAAGAGTTTGTCTTGACTATCAATTAGGAAGTAACTATATCTCTAACTTCACATGAGACTGCCAGTGGGTATGCCTGATGGTCATGTTCTTCTGAATGCACCAGTGTGTTTACAATCACACAATACATGGTTCTTCTTTGAAAAATAATGGGTTGGACCAGGACTTATGTTTGACTGATAATCTTTTCAGAGTAAATAATATATTAACAACCACAGTGAGTCACAGAGTATATAACCTCCTAAATAGATCAATTATGTCTGACTCCTTCAGATAAGCAACAAGGAATGTTTCAGTGAAAAAACCCAAGAATGAGGTTGACAGCAACAAACTTGTGAGGCCTTCTAGTTAATGTTTATAGTTATAACAAATTGCAACACAATAACATATTTGATATGTACCTTAAGAGGGTTTTATATACCTGCTAAGACTATTTTTCCAATTTTTTCCTAAAGATATCATAATTTTAAAATGAGAACATAGATGATCTAGAAATAAAAATGTATAATCATCATTTAAGAGGCTAACATTACCTATAAATTAAAAAACAACAAAACTATAATGGGACCACTGATGAGTACCACGAACCTTGTGTTGCATATAAAATGCATCTCTACCAAAATGTTTTCAACATTTGAGACCTTGAATTTTCACAAAACAGTGCTGAAAAACATACTGTTCTTTCTTTCCCCTGTGTGGCATTGTGTCTATTATTAAAGAATGTTCTCAAAGAGCAATTTGCAATGTATTTTCAACAGAAACAACTTAACTTCAAATAAGAGTTGTATATGTTCAATGTCTGACTCTGAAATAGTTACATTTCTTTTCAATGGAACAGGAAAATTTTAAATAAGGTTTCCCCAACTGCAGTAAAAGAAATCTTTTATATACTTTCAAATACTGTGCCTTTTTATTTAAAACAGTGTAAACATAACAACACCACCAATAATTGGAAAAAGACTGGTTATGTGAACACTAATTTTCTTGAATGCCCCCATCAAAATAAGGGTAAATAAGACAGACAAATCTCCAGGAGGAGTCCCCGCTCACCTCAGCAGTGGTAAAAATATTGCTTTATTCCAAAGGAACATACAATACAATTTACTGTTCTTTTGAGGGCTTCCTGTGAACTGAATACTCGCCTTTGTGATTTCAACAATTTATTCTTTCCATATTAACCACAGAAGCCAATATCTTGGTCCACAAGTTGTAGACTAACTACAAAATAAATACTAATGAGGCTCATGAAAAAGCAAAGGATAACTGTCAATTTGGTCATCGGCTTGTGTGAATAATTTAAGTACGCATGATTCAAAATAAACACACACATTCAACTCTCCTATGATACAGATATCATCAATGAACCTACAGTTGTTCCTCTCAGAAGTATTCACATCAGAAAATGGTCTAGACATTGTCAACAGTTTTATAGGACCCCACCATGCAAGTGACTTTGATGTAAGAACTTACTAACTGAACTTTATACTTAATGGAAAAATTTAAAGTGAACAGATCTAAGAGGGAAATTTGTTTAAATATTAGATTCCCTGATGTTTCAGAACAAATTTTAGCAAGCTTAATACACACACACACATGCACACACATACTCACAATGAACACATGTGCATACAGCATACCAGTGCTCGAGGGAGCAAACACACACACACACACACACACACACACACACACACACACACTTTCTCTCCTCTCTCTCTCACACACACACACACACAGGCACTCACACACACTGAGAAATGCTCCTTTGGCGTCCTAAACGATCTCAAAGAAAAACATTTCTGTCAGCATGACTTTAGTGACATGACACTGATTTTTTTGTCCTTTTTTATATATTGATTTCATATCTTGCTCTGAGATTCTGCACCTTCAAAATTCAGAGGAAGATGGCACAAAAGAGCAGCTGATTTTGCCCCGATGGCTCCCTCTATCTCTGTCCTCCTTCTCCTTCCCAGGCCTGTGCCGTTCTCAAAATGAAATAGAAAACACTACATTGGTTGACATGACATAACCTGTGATGAGGCTGTCGAGTGAAGAGAAATTTGGGGGTTGGGACTGCCAAGCCAAATGGCAAGGGCTGTCTGCGCACTGGCACATCCGCCCTCGGGTGCAGCTTGTCTCTGAAACCAGGTACCTGCCAGTGCTTTTGGACGAGGACACTGTGCTGTGGGGCTGAGGGTCTGAATCGCCCACATCTACCAAGAGCCAAAGAGGATAATGTTGGGACTAACTGAAATTGTATTCAGATTTCCACCCAAAAGCTTTAGTTGTAAGCTTTATCCCTCCTGAAACGTTTCTTTCCCTTTAAAAAAATATTTTGTTAAAAAACACTATGATATGAGGGCGATAGACTATTTGGTTTCTTCTAAGTAGATGCTCTTAAATTAATGCATATAAATAATTTGTATTTAATTTCCTCTCTTTCCTGTTGAGCAAAGCATAGAATGCACAGATTCCTACGTCTCAAGTCACTTGGTCAACGCAGAGTCTCTTTGTATTTCATTTCTTAAGATTAATTGTGCCTCACGTTCCGATTTGGCCATGGGACTCAGGGGGAGAAAGGCGGTGTTTTCACTCGCACTGTCCTCAGCTTCTACACTGGCTAGTTCGTAGTCTTCTGACCTCCTGGCATCAGTCAGAATTCGGATCTGCTCCTGGACAGTTTCTAGCAGTATTTTCACTTCTTGTTGTTCTGCTAAAAGACAATCGCTGACTGGAATACTCACATTGACAATATCAGCAGAGTAGGAGTTTTTGCACCATTTGATGCTTTTGACGTCAGAAATCCCTGGCATTTGCATGCAGGTTTCCTCTAGCCCCACTGAAGGGATGATGGGCACCGAACTGGCCCTTGGGGATGAATATCCCATCAGGTCCTTTTGATCCAAGCTATTAAAATAAGAGTTTGTCTCTCTCGAAGGCAGTTGCATATGGACTGATGCATCCTGTTGGGTTTTTAAACCGGCGGATGAATACCTGAAAAGAAAGAGAGTGTTAGACAGTCTGCCTTCTGCCGGCGCTTCTTCAGAGCACTCGCCAGCCAGCAAAGCACTTGCCACATGCACCACCTCACTGACTTCTCACAGCAACCCCATCAGACGCAGAATATGTTCCCAGATAAACAGAGAAACTGAAGCTCAGAGAGGTGCAGTGACTTGCCCAAGGTCACACAGAAAATAAGTGACAGACTGAGACTCAAACCCAGATCTTCTTACTTTAAGTCCAGGGATCTTTCAACACACCACAGCTGTATAGGCAGGTGGGATATAGTCTTCCTGACCTCTATCCTAGAATACAAAGTAAATGGGGATTGAGCAGGTAAGTGTGGCCTTTCCGTAGTGACAAACAGGAAACCCATAACGGCATTACTCCACTCCATCAACTCGACCACCCTCTCAGCCCTGGTTTGGTACTCATGTGGCCAACCTACTTGGAGAAACCGGGAAGCCCCACGTTAAGCATTAAGGTACTAGAGTCTAGAGTCTTTCTGCTTCACAACTTTAGGGGAACGAACGCCATTTCTATCGGCACTCTGCTCTGTAGGCATTGCCTCACTACAAGCTGCTGAGCCTAAAGGGGCATGGGAGACACATGATTCTTCTCTCTGCCCAAAGACAAGCATGAAGTGAGCTCTGTAAGGCCTCTGCCAATCTAGCAACTTTCCATACATGGTTTCTGCAGGCAAGTAAGGTAGCTCATTGGTGCATGTCAATGGCTTGTCAAGAATGCCAACATGCTATTCAAGTCATTTGAAGATTCCAGAATCTGACTAGGCCCTTTCTTGCCTGTTCAGAGCTAGTGAATTTCCCAGTGCCTCTGAGCTTCCCAATGCCACAATGTGGGACAGCTAGTCATAGATTCAAAGAAATGTGGTTTGGGGACTTGAACAGTAGTTTTTACTCTATTTCTGTTATTTATCCCTAATTTAAACATTAAATTAAACATTAAAATTTAAGTATAATCTAAACATATCTACCTCCATATGATACCTAGCATTCCCCTAGTCTTACATTGTAATATAAATAAAAGTCATGTTTATACAAGGAAAGAATAATTGCGATGAAGTGTGTAGCATACTGAATAGAAATCGTTATTTAAGGGCATGATGGGAGTAATTGAGAAGTCTTTTTTTCTATCAGATGGTGAGAAAAGACGGGGAGCAAATTTAGGTGTCTTTATAGTCCCATCCTCTCTTACTGTGCCTAGTAAAGAGTGAGTAACCAATAAATCTTGATGGAACAGGCATGTGAGAACATAGCATACCTTAGAGATAAACACTTTATACCCCAATCAGCATCCATTTCAAACATAATAACAAGAGCTAACATTTACATAGTGATTTTATTTTTTAAAGATATTTTTAGTTAATTTCAGAGAGGAAGGGAGAGGGAGGTAAAAATATTAATGATGAGAAAAAATCATTGATCAGCTGCTTCCTGCACACCCCTACTGGGGATGGAGCCCACAACCCAGGCATGTGCCCTGACCAGGAATAGAACCGTGACATCCTGGTTCATGGATGACACTCAACCACTGAGCCATGCTGGTCAGGCTGCATAGTGTTTTTAAAAAGTACTTTCACCTTTAATTGCTTCACTATTTTTAAAACTGTGGTTTACTTTTTATTATTACCATGTTATTAAAGAAGAAACTGGACTAAGGGGTACTCAAATGACTTGCCACAAGTTACCTTTCGTAAGCAGAAGAGGAAGAAGTTAAACCCAAGTTGTCTTATTTTAATTGTTACTATGAAAGCCAGAAATGAGTGGGCATCCAAGGTGCACTAGAACACTTTTCAAAGGATGCATAATCTCTACCTGTGTAAACTATATAGCCACCCCGCAAAAGGAAATTTTCCAGGGATTTTGGTCCATTTGCTTTGGTGTTTTGGAACTGAAAATCTAAGCCTAAGGGTTCTAATCAATTTCAACAAGAAGAAATGGAACAAATTAGAGGGTTTTGTGTTTGTCCTGAATATCATCCAGTTAACACCATTAATATCTATGAAGATACAGAATGTCTACTATCAGATTCACCAATCTCACAGAGACAAAAAATGTAATTAGGATAAAATTGTATTTCTCACAAATATCATGAGAGTATATCAGTAGGTAGAATTTAATAGGTTTGAAATGTGATGATCATAGATGCAAATTCTTATGCCAGGATCTAACCATTATTTGTAAAAATCTATATATATAAAAGCCTAAGTGACTGGCTAACCGGCCAACCAACCGGTCTATGATGTGCAATGACCACCGGGAGCAGATGTTCAATGCATAGGCATGGAAACATGGAACAGACTGATGAATCTCAGAGGGAAGGGAGGAGGGGGCGCGGCAGGAAGAGATTAACCAAAAATCTTATATGCATACTAGAGGCCTGGCGCACGGATTCATGCACTGGTGGGGTCCCTCGGCTTGGCCTGCGGGGATCAGGTCGAAACCAGCTCTCCAACATCCTGTGGGGGTCACGAATTGTGAGAGGGCACAGGCCAGGCTGAGGGACCCCACCAGTGCATGAATCTGTGAACTGGGCCTCTAGTATTAGATAAATGTATAAATGTCTTAGAGGATTTAGACAATCATAGCTTTAATAAGTTAACAATGTGGCCTGATGAAGAAGTGATCAAAGGCAATTCAAGCCAAACTTGAAGCAGTCTTATAACAAGCCTGACTGCTGAATTAAGGGTGTAGATGAGAAAGGAATTTCAGCTGACCTATAGGTCACCTCACAAGTCAGTTAAGGGACATGAGACACACAGCTGCCAATAACTGCAATCTAAAATGTTACCATAACATGAAGATGTGAACTATCCCAAATGTGCTTTTGTTTTGGATCAGACATGACTTCAAGCCCCAACACCATTTTTAGATGAATTGCAGCCTCCTTTTAATTTTCTCCTCAATTAAAACAATCAGGTGGTGACACTGCTCTGAGGGATTGCTCTGAGAACTAACTGAAGTAATGCATCTGCACTATTCCCCAGAGGATGCTGGTAACCCTCACTTCCCTCCTAGAGTCTGTGAGTCCAGCACTGGTATTGAGGAGAAACAGATTACTCTCCTCCATGAGTTTAAGTGAGAGCACAACTTCTAGATGTGATCTGGGTTGGAAGACAGGCAGCAGTCTGATCCCTGACAGTCAATCACTCGTTCACAATTTTGATCCATGAGCTTGTCATTCATTGTCTGTAAAATGCCAATTTGGACTGTTGTTCCTCTGATCTCTCAACAAAGAAATCACCAGTGCATTTCCTCAGTAACTATGGTGAAAAGGTGAAATCTTGCCAGGCTGATGAGGCTCAGTGGTTGAGTGTTGACCCGTGAATTGGGAGGTTATATATGGCAAACAGTCAGTATACTTTGTATCCCTTCTACTTGGAAGGTGGCAGTCTAGCTTTTGGGACTCCATTTCTTTCTGTCTAGCATATGAATATATTAGTTTGGTTTGCCTGACATAACACAGCTCAGAGCTCTGGGACCGTGGCTTTCTCTGACCCCACTAATCAGAAAAAGGCTCCTGAGTAGTTACCAGTTCACACCTTCCTCCGGCTTCACTGAGATAGCTACTGGTTCAAACTGGGCCGAAGCCAGTGCCACAGAGAGAAGTCCCACCACCGGAGCCTACCTAGCAGACAGCGCCCACGTGCGTGATAAACAAGCAGCAGATGGCTGATGGCTTTTGCAAATTCAATCACTGCCCCTCCAGGCTAGGGCCAGATTTGAAGAGGGCCTTTAACTGTGAAATTCTATTACTGATCCTATTTCCAGTCCAGAGAGATGGAAGGTCCCCCAGGAGTGGAAAATAGCTGTTTTCAAGAACTGAGAATGAGATTGCTCCCTGAGATTCATTGTGCTGAGCACACCGTGACTTATACTTAGAGTCACCATTTATCAACACTGGGTGCACATCACACACAGGAAAATACACGTGGCCAGCCAGCTGGAGAGAATATTCCAACCCCAATGATGATTGAACCAAAACAAAACCACCGCCAGGCAGACAGAAAGCGGAAGTCTCCCAGGAGGTAAAAGACAAAGCAGGGCACCTCTGAACATGTGATGGGCACCCCTGAGCCTCCGAAAGTTCATGTATGTGTGGTTGAAGCCTGTGCCCAGAGCAGCTCAGAGCATCCTTACACCTGGACATATGGAACGACAGCCAAAACATGCCCATCAGAAAGAAACACGGCATGGGCTGGGACCCCTCTGCACTCACAAAGTATACTATTCCTAGGCAATGGGCAATATCAGTGATTTAAGAAGGAAAATAATTATGAAATCTGATCAGTTGTCATTGTAGGCTAAATACAAGCCCCCCTTCCAAATATAAGGCAAAGAGAAGGCCAGCTACTTCTTGACTTGCATTATATCAGACATTTTGGATAACTTGGCTGTTATGTTCAATTTGCAGATCTGTACCAACTACATTTTGCACTACATTCGGAATTGCTTCAAAATTACAAAATCCAGCCACAGGCTATTTAATTCTTGTCTCCTGGTCTTCCTAAAGCAATCTGTTGCTGAGCTTTGTCAGATAGAGTAGAAAATGCACATATATCTTGTCCAGAAGAAAAGACAAGGGTAAGGCTCTGTGATGGACTTCCTACTTGCTTAGGCCTCCAGCTTGATACAGTGTGGGAACATCACCCAGGGCAAAGCAGCCTAGAAACCTGGCCTGGCTCATCCAGAGAGATAAAAGCTAGATGTGATAAGAACCTGGCTTGTGTGAGGGAACAGATTCCTGAAGTTTCTGGAGTAAACCCTGATTGCACTATTCTTGAAATCAATGATAATTTTATAACAGCTCCTGAGACAATACAAACCAGTACTACATCTCTGCTTGCCATGTGACAAGGTACAAGCTCTTTCCACACATAATTAAAAAAAAATCTACCCAACAACCTTGAGGAAGGTTGTATTATTTTTATTCAATTTATAGATGAAAAAAACTTAAGCTTAGATGATAAAACTATCTCAAATTCACACAAGATGTAAGGGCCAAAGATTTGAACTTCAGTCATTTTAAGTAAGAGCTACCATGTTTGGTTGAACAGTCAATTAGGTGAATGGGACTTAAGTTCATCCTCCGTTCCATTCACCACACCTTGAGCCGAGTAAGCCACTCAGGGGAAGGACACCCTTTGCACTGCAAGGAGGAATAGCAGTTGTCGTGCCCGAAGCCCATATTTCCATCCCTGCACTGTGAATAAACCTAGAGATCCGAGTTCGGCAAATTGTACCTCGAAATCATGCTGTCAGTATTAACTGAGACACATTCAAGAATGCTCAATGGAAGTAGATAACATGATA